TTTTAAGTCCAACGTTCTGCTCAATATCCTAATCCCATTTCTATTCTGCATATTTTCTACCCTGAGTATAAAGAACTGCTTAAATAAAATACTTATTTATAGTAATACTTAGGTCACTTCACACAATTTCAGTTGTCTGAGGGCTTCAACTATCCCAACAATCTCAGTAGAACAAGTTAAAGAAGGCCTTCCAGAAACCCACATTTCTTTTGACAAATTTTACATTAAGCATTTCTTGTTGGAGAAAGCTGTTTTGGGGTTTGCTGAACTATACACAAATCTTAAGAAAAAAACATAAGGTTATCTTGTTTTTTGCACAAAACTAGAGCTTTTTAGCTACAAGATTATACACAATGACAAAGAATAACAACTAACAATTAGCTAAGAGAGAACCTACAAAAATGCAGGCAAGTTACAAAGGAGCCCTTTTCTAACTTACATGGCCAGTAAGCAAAAGATTTAGAAATTTAGCTCAATGCTCCAAAGACTGAGCCAGGTTCATGAAGCTAAGTTATCAAAACACAGAACAAAACAAAGCAGAAAACTCTAGGCATGCTGAACACATGGTAAGCATTCATGATATAAAACTGCCTTGGAAGCTGTTTACACATCCATTGATCATCATCTGGACCTACTGTGTGCCAGGCAATGAAGATGACAAAAAGGTTCCTGTTCAGGGAGTTGTCACAATGCAGCTTAAAATTAAGGCCTCCCTCAACCATCCAATCTAGAGTAGTCAATCAGTCACTATCACATTACTATTTTAATTTTCTGTATAGCATTTATCAAGAATCTGGTATTTTCTAATTTGTCTGTCTCAATACTCTAGAATACAAGCTCTACGAGGGTATGGGCCTTGCCTATCCTGTTCCCTAATACTCAGCACAGATATTAAAAAATAATTGTGAAATTAATTAAAGGGAGAGTAGTTTTCAAAGGCAGTTTGAAAAGCAATCAATGTCTTGGTGAATTAAGTTAGTTTTTCTAAACTTCAGTTTTACTATCTAAAAAATGGGATATAAATAGCTATCAGCCTGGAAGAGTAGTTTGGGCCTCTAGTCTAGCTATGTGAGAGGATGAATCAGGAGGAATCTGAGCCTAGGGGTTTGCAGCCAACCTGGGCAACAGAGCAAAACCCTGTTTCACTGAAAATGGTAAATAAGGAGTTATATAGTTCACAGGGCCATTCTGTAGACTAAGTGAGATAGTGAGTCCAGTATACTATTACCAAGTATAATTGAGAAAGGGTTAAATAATCATTATGCTAGTTACAAACGCAGGAAGTATGTTATATTTAAGAGAGGGAGAGAAAATGATTAAACAAATTAAAGTATTACAAAGTTTGTGATTGAGGGCTGGGGCTGTGGCTCAGTGGCAGACTGCTTGCCTAGCATGTGTGAGGCCCTGGGTTTGATCCTCGGCATCACATAAAAAATAAACAAACAAAGGTATTGTGTCCAACTACAACTAAAAAATAAATATTAAAAAAAGATTGTGATTGAATGTTATTATCTGAAACCTCCAAAAATCAGAACAATAAGGAAGCAATGGTAGTATGATGGGGCATAATTGTACATGGCTACAAGCACAGCTACACGGGAGAATGAGGCAGGAAGATTGAAAGTTCAAGTCTAGACAGGTGCAGTGGTGCATGTCTGTAATCCCAGCAGCTAAAGAGGCTCAGGAAGGAGGATTGAAATTCAAAGCCAGCCTCAGCAGGTTCGTGAGGAACTAAGCAACTCAAGAGAGATGCTGT